CGGGGTTGTTTCAAATGAATGTTCATTACAAGAGGCGCCTTCAATGAGGGCTGCCAGCGGCGTCCTGGCCGAGTGGTAGTGGTGGCGCCTCATGCTGGTGAGACTATGGTTCGGTTCTTGGTGAAATCCCAATTCAGACGTGCCACCAACCAATGAACGTGCTGTCAAAGTGCCAGTTTTACAGCACGTCCAAGAGTGTAAAATTTCCACAGGTGAAGAAGCAGTACTTGTTGCACCTTGATAATTGGTTTCAGTTGAATAGCTGACAACAATCGGTATTATTCAAAATCCTCTATTAAAAGATCCTAACCTCTCAAATTCAGTTCAACCCCTGCGTGTCATGAAGATCGGCAAACATCGCAAGTTATTATACTCCAGCCAGGATATCGGAAAGGAGTCCACACTACCTCAACGCTTAGAACTTCAGCTGCGGCAAACTTCACTTAACTTCAGAACTTTAAGCTTGGTACAATATTCTCGTGGTTAGCTTCTACCCATATTCGTTGGTCGATTATCTGGCAGGTAGAACTATCGGCGATTTGGCCTGAAACTGACTTGCACATGGGCTGGTCTGCAGTTACTGCATAGGTCAACCACATCGAAATATGTATCACTACGATTTTAAATGGAAGTGGAGGCGTGGCTCATCATTAAGGAAATTTATCAACGCCAAATGTCTTTTGTTTCTTGTGTTCGAAAGATTGGGAAGGCTTCCCGATGTCCCAGCATGATGTCTTTAATTTTGTGAAGATTTGAAAGGAACCGGTTATTGTAATGGGTTGACCCATTATGGTCCTGCGCATTTTACTATGAGACAATTACATTTTTTTACTATGGGAGTTACATGCGAAGAGAAAAGGATTCCAAGCGAGTATAGGTTGGAAACGAATGACGTAAAAGCTGCCCGACACTCCAGTAAAACATGAGTTAAAGGTAGAGTTGAAATAAGTGCTGCTCAAGGAACTGTCCGCCGAGTATTCGGCCTCGAAGTTGTGAATCACACGAAAAGAGTTGCCCTGCATTAAGAAATCGGCCAAAACGCTTTTTCCAACCAAACTGTATTTTCTGCTCACCTGCATGCCTGCCGAAGCAATTGTACAAGTGATGTATATCAAATGAGAGGGAAACTGTACTGTGGGATTTCTAGTAACATGGAAATCTTCAGAAATAAGCACAGAAATTCCTTTCCACATTCAAAATCAATGCATCTCATT